ATATATATATATATATATATATCATTTAAAAAATAAAAAAGAAATTGGTTAACGAGTCAATTCACTAACCAACCAATCTATAATAAGTTATAAAATTTTTGGCTCGTTCAAAAAATAAATCGGATCGAGGTTACTGCCAATCCAACCCGTGTTTGACACCCCTAATCACAGCAACCAGGGCTATCTAGTGCAACCCAAGGCATCATCTTTTTCTTTCATTTGGTTACTTTAAAGGGTCCACAAGAAACAAAAAAACACCCTTGATTCTTTCAGTTGATTCAATTCTGGGTTTTCTCTGATCATAAATAGTTGTTGTGTGGTCAGTTCCTACCAGTAAGATAAGTGCTTGTCTTGCGGGTTTGATTCCAAGAATCCTGGGCCCACAGGTTGGGACTGATGGGATCATTCACCTCATTCACTCAGTATACTCCAAAGTTTCATATTTGTACTTCAGAAGAAGAAAAATATAATTTGAAAATTCTTTCTTTTACCCACAGGTAGAGAAACAAGCACTTTAAAAAATATTTAAAAAAGAGAATTTTTATTATATATAATTATAAATAAATTATATAATAATAATAATAATATTTTTATATTGTACTTTTACTATTATATTATAATAAACGAATTATCAGATAATTGTACATGAAAAAGAAATTGTCAACATATTATCACTCTTTAAAAAAACTAATGTCAACTAAAAAAGTTTGGTCTACATTCCAATTGTTAATATATGTGTTTAGGTAGGCTTATTATAAAGAGATGTAGATATTATCATTACTCAATATTAATAATAATTTTGTTTTTAAGTAATATCAATAATCTTATGATCAAATGAATTCAGTTTTTTCATCTAATTTAATGTTGTTTTTTTCCTTTTTCCATTTAGTTAGGATTTATGCATGACATTTGTTTTATTGATTTTATAAAATATTAAAATAATTTAATTTTATATTCAAAATATAATTACCTATGAGTTATTCTTGTTTCTCCTATAATTATTATTAAGAATAAGAAAAAAATATATTTTTGATGTATGTATATATTTTTTTTATTAGTAAAACATATTGTGTAACTAAGAAATTTGGATTCCATAAATTGCATAAAGAAGTTTTAGATTTCCTCATTGATGATGCCACGTGTTTGCATGTAGAATACTACTATTTTCCCATAAACATATTTATATGATAGGTTATTAATTGGGGTGACAACTTCACCTAAAAATGAGATTGCCATGTCACAACACAAGATTTAATTGTACCCATTTTTTTTTCTCAAATTATCACTATAATTGTGTCTTTTTTCTTTCAAAGAAAAAAAAAGTATTTGGCAATATCAACAAATAAAATACAAGTCTCTTTCTCAAATTTGCTTTATGTCTTTGACTGATTTATATATATTAATTGTGTTTTGACAATAAAATTATAAAAAATAGATACTCCAATTTGATTGTAAGGGTCAAAATATGGAAATATTACCATATTTTCTATTTTACACAAAGATTAGAAATGATTGAGATATTATTAATAAGATTATTTTATGACATTATCTTTTTATTTAATTGTATTAATAATAACAAAAACCATGGGCAAGATATTAATGGTAAGAATTCTAAAAAACTTTATTTTTCCCGCCCAATAATTGTTTACATAATTAGTCACCTTGCCATTTGAATGACTTAAACCCATCACCATCTTGGTATGTAGATATAGTGTTCCTTATAAAAAAAAAAAAAATATTAGAGCTATATTTATAGAACAATTTTCATGATAATTTTATTTCACTTCATTATATTACTATCTCATTTTTTTTCCTCTCACTCGTGATCGTTAAAAAAGATGTAAAAATTTGATGTATAAAATAATTTTTCGTTGTATTAGGCATGAACTTTTTGTGTAATGAATTTTATGGTTGGGGGAACTTCATTGTGACAGAGAAAAAGATGACATTATTATCAAATTTAGTCAATCAAACGTCAAGAGTAGTAGCTTTCTAAATTTACTGCTATTATCTTCAATCACAAGTCCACACATGCCTCTATCTAAAATTTTCAAATCATCACGTTGTATGAGGTCCAATTTTCTTCAATTACTTTTGACTTTCTTTTACTCATGCACATTTTACAAAAGGGTAAGGAAAAATGTATTAGCATTTAAGTATGTGTTAAAGTGATGAAATTTTGTTGAGGATTCAGGTGAGAAATTCCCACATCAAAAAGCAAGTATGATTAAGAAGTACAGACGAAATTTGATGGTAATTAAAGACATGAAACATTATAGGTGAATATAATCTTTATTATACTAAATCAATTTTATATGATTAAGTTAAATATCTCACTATTTTTTATATGATATCAGAGTCTAATTTAATGACGTTGAAACATGAAAAAAATATCTCTTGAATCAAGAGAGTGTGAAGAAAAATCTTTTTGAAATCAGAAGACATGATGAAATTTTTTTTTAAAACGAGAAGTGATAAAATTTCATATCAATCATAGATACGATAATATTATAATATATAAATCAGTCAAATGAGAAATCCGACTAAAAATTGATTTATTACTTCTAAATAATTAAACTTTAATTAAATTAATGAAGTTTTTGGATCGAACCGAGTTTGATAAAAAAATTCAAAATCAATTTTTTTAATATAATTTTTTTATAAAAAATATAATATAGTTTAATTTTTTTTTATCTCATATTAATTATATCAAATAATTATTATGTTATAAAAATATTATTTAATTCAACATGTTTTCACCTATTCATCCTATTAAAACATTGAAATAATTCTCTTCTTATAAATCATATTGTGTTAGATATTAATACAAAGTTGAATAATATAATTTAAGATTTTCTTATAAACGTGATATTATGGCTTTAATATGATTATATGATAATCCATTTATAAACAATGATATAGATATAGTGTAACCTTACTTACCTCTCTCGTAGAATAATATTTTTCTCGTTATTTTATTTTTTTCTCTTCCATAATTATAAATTGAAAAAGTAGATATATTTATTACTTTAAGATAATATTTTATGCATAACAAATATTAATTAAAATAAACTCTTGATAAAATAACATGGAAAAACTATTACATAAAGTAAAGCTGTTAATATATTTTTTAAACACTGTATGGTAATTTTGAAAAAGTTTATACAACATTTTGTTAAAACTTAAATAACTCAATTATTATATTTCTAGCTCTAAATTATATATTTTTCTACGAGGAATGCAACACTATACTATTTCATCTCATATTATCTACAGTTATTATATAGAAAAGATTTTTTTAATCGTATTTTTAATGTCATGAGAGAGAGAGGAAAATATTATTATTTAAAAATAAAATAGTTATTGTGAGTTATATATTTAGAAAATAGTAAAAATATAAGAAAGAGAAAAAAATGTGAAAAACATGAATATATTTAAAAAGTAGAGAGAGAAAAAAAAACAAAAGTCGCAAGTGTTTTTAGTAATAATTATAAGTTGCTTTTAGTCTTTTATTTGTTATAATAATAATAATAATAATAATAATAATAATAATAATAAATATACAAATAATGAATTAACCCGTGATAAAATACTCAACCATAAATATTCACAAAGTCAAAATTTATTTGTTTTATATTTATATGGATAATTAGGCAGACAATCCAAAAAAATAAAAATAAAATAAAATTCTAAACCATCAATCACTTTGACTTGGTCATTTTTACAAAAATCAAATTTTAGGTTTTTATCATGATAGATTAATTTTTTTCTTTATCCCATCTCGTATTTTCTAAAAGTAAAATAAATATTTAATTTAAAATATTCAAGAAATTAACAAGAAATTAACAAGAAATTATCTAATTAGTGAATATATATATATATATATATATATATATATATATATATATTATAAAATTTTCTCTGTTTTCATGAATTTAAGATCAGAATTTATCTTTTAAATATCTTAAAAGATGAGAAACACGAAATAAAGAGAAATGAAAACAGAAGACTCATGAAATAATTGATGATGTTTACAAAATGAAATAAATTTCAAAATCTTCTATTTATTTAACTTAATAATAATAATAATAATAATAATAATCTAAAGTCAACCTTATTTATTTTTTCTTACATTTTCTATTTATCCCTCAAATTATTTCATACATTTATTTATAATTAAAAAACACCAATCTTTACCCTTTTTAATTCTCACTTAAATAGTATACTTTCTCAAATTTTTATTTATAAATTTAATTTTTATAATATTTTATTTAAGTTTTAGTTAATATGTTATTTTTAAATGGCCCAACTTCTTATAGTATGGGAGATAATATTTTTAAATTATATTTCATATAAATTTCATAAAGGTCCTTCTAAAAGACATTAAATAAACTCATTATTTAAGAAGGCTTATATAAAATTTTATTAAATTAATTAAAAAATACATCCGAAGTCAGAACCGAAGTCAGAACACGAGAGAACAACAAAATAATTTTATAAGAATTATTTAAAGTTTCATCATCTAACCATTCATATGAATTACAAACACACTTTTTAACACATCCTTTAAATAAATATTTTTTTAACTGATTTAAATTTATTAAATTATAAAACTAAATTTAATTTGCTCAACCTCCTTGTTTAATACTATACTTAATCTCATGCTTGAATTTCACGTACATTTTTTAGTATTCAATAATATTCCTATTTTATTATGTTCTAAGTGATTTTACAAAAAAAGAGTTTTCTACGATGTTGTCGGAGTGTTTTGACAAGACGAGGGATCTATGTATCTTTTTCCTAACCAATTTCCTTTATTATTTCATCTACTCACATAACATAACCAAACCTCTTTCACTCTCTTCTCCTTCCTTTCCCTTTCCATCAACAAAAAGCTGCATTCTCCATTCTCCTTCAGCAATCAATGCACCGATCCCACTTTACAAACTTCTAAATTCACAGCACTGTGTTTGTGTGAGTTGACAAGAGTGTTAGGTGCAATGGGAGGAGTGACATCATCCATGGCTGCCAAGTTGGCGTTCTTCCCTCCCAACCCAGCGTCGTACAAAGTGGTGAAGGACGAGGTAACGGGTCTTCTGCTGCTGAGTCCCTTCCCTCACCGCGAGAACGTTGAAATCCTTAAGCTTCCCACGCGCCGTGGAACTCAGATACTCACCATGTACGTTCGCCACCCCATGGCCTCTTCCACTCTTCTCTACTCTCACGGCAACGCCACTGATCTTGGCCAGATGTACGACCTCTTCATCCACCTCACCATCCACCTACAAGTTAATCTCATTGGGTATGTATGTATGTATGTATGTATATATATATATACTTATATAATATCATCGCTCCCTTCTCATTTTGTTTTTTTCATTTGTTGTTATGGTTCTAAATCGTGGTTATGAAACCTCTTCATATTATGAACAAATGCTGCAGATGTAATCACAATTGCCATGACTTTAAAAATCTTGATGTTGTTGTTGAAATCACTTCAAAATCCTTGACGTTGTTGCTGAAATTGAAATTGTAACTGCAGGCCATATTGCAAAACTTATATTTGTTTTAAAGTTAATGTAACATAATCAATTGACTATATCAAATGAATTATACAACAATAAAAATCTTTAGTTCACTATGTGAAATTGAGTTAAAAATTAAAGCTTTAGGAATATTGTCATGTGGGTAATAAATAATTTTATTTGATTAAAATATTTACTTTTCTAGTTATGTATCTATTAATGCATTTATTTCTTGCATTTGATACTGTAAAGTGATATATAATACGCCCTCTCACTTTATGTGTGTGGTGAATTTTCATGCTTTGTTCTTTTGTGATAAGCAGTTTGGACCTTTGTAGTTTGCATATTTTGACAATTCGTTTGTACTTACCGTTCATGCACTAGGAACAGCTTCTTTTGTGGCATTTTATTTCTTGGTGAAAATGTTCTAGTTTAACTAGTACCTGAAGCAGATTTTGGTGAAAGATAGATCAACTAAATAATAATAATAATAATAATAATAATAAAGAATTGTTAAACGGGGATTTGACTCATCGTTGTGTGATTTTGTGCAGGTATGACTACTCTGGGTATGGCCAATCATCAGGGAAGGTTTGTAAGAATCTGAAATGCTTGTTCATGTTGTCGTGTCATGCAGTGTGATATGAAGAGTGGTAGAGCTAAAACCATCTGCTGATGAAACATTGTTTTGCCTGAACTGCAGCCAAGTGAGCAGAATACATATGCAGATATTGAGGCTGTGTATAAGTGTCTGGAAGAAACCTATGGTACCAAGCAAGAGGATATAATCTTGTATGGCCAATCTGTTGGTAGTGGCCCTACTTTGGATCTTGCAGCTAAATTGCCACAATTGAGAGCTGTTGTTTTGCACAGTCCTATACTTTCAGGATTAAGGGTCATGTATCCAGTGAAACGCAGTTACTGGTTTGACATATACAAGGTAGGATACTGTTTTGACTTCTAATCACTTGCTGAGATTTCTAATCAATTATTGCTGATTTATGGGCACATGAGTTCCTGAATCTAATCAGCTTTTGTGTTGATGTGCAGAATATCGACAAAATTCCACTAGTTAATTGTCCTGTTCTTATAATTCATGTAAGTTTTCTTTGAGGATGGTGAATCCTTTGTTGCTTTTGAGTTGGATAGCCTTGGCTTGAGAAACATTTACTTTTGTTTTGTTTACATGGTATCCTATTTCTTGAATATCATATATCTGTGGCTTTTTTTTCTTTGTTCTTTTTGCCCATTTTTAAAAAAAATCTTTACCTTTCTTTATTGTAGACTTCCACTTTCACCCCAACTGAATTATTTTTGTAGTTATAAACTTGGATTATGGGAAAAATGATTTCCTCACTATAACCACCATATGACTCCGAATACCTTTGTTATGTCTCGTGTGTGGCAGACTTTCCAGCCCTTCAACTTCGTATTTATAACGTAAAAAGTACAAATTTTCTTCACCTGAATTGTTCTATGTAGATAACTTCACTCAGAGAAAAGAGTATGTAGTCTTACCATTTGATTGTTACAATTGTGAATGAAATACCTTCACAAAATTACAGACTCTTCACCTTCATTCATTTAAACCACTTGTGTCCATTATCAGTTTTTAAAATAATGAAATGTGCCATCAACACTTAAGTTGTAAGAGAATGTGAAGTTCATACCGCAATAGATAGTTAATGACACTATGACACTATCATGCAAGCTATTAGTTTAGTTTTCTTTTGACTTGAAGATCTAAGAAACGTTATCATAAAGTACTTCACCTGCAAAATGTTTATTTACATGATGAATAATCTGGTTAATATCATACGATTGAAGTCCCTTAATGTTATCATGCAGGGAACTTCAGATGAAGTGGTAGATTGCTCCCACGGCAAACAACTGTGGGAACTGTGTAAAGAGAAGTATGAGCCACTTTGGTTGATAGGAGGTAACCACTGTGATTTAGAGCAATTTCCTGAGTATATCAGGCATCTGAAGAAGTTCATAACCACTGTTGAGAAGTCTCCATCACAAAGATACAGCTTCAGAAAAAGCATGGAGCAGTTTGAGCAGCCACGAAAGAGCACCGATGTATTTGAAGTCAGTAGAAAGAGCACTGATCGCAGGGAAAAACCGCGGCTGAGCAGTGACAGGCCTGAAAAACTGAAGAACTTGGCCAATAATGATAAGTTAGAGAGACTGAGAGTAACTTTTGATCATATAGAAAGGTCAAGAAGAAGTGTGGATTGTCTTGAGAAGTCTAGAAAAAGCTTTGATCATCAACTTGAAAAGGCAAGGAAGAGTGTGGACAGGCTGGAAAGAATAAGGACCTGAGATTCTTGGTTTAATCAAATTATGTATTCATGAATGGTTTGGCTTTATGGGTTTTTTATCTTCTTTAAATTGACCTACCTGGTATTGTAGTATGCCTTATGTCAGATATGCTGATAATATATGTTGACATCAGAGGAAGAGTTTGGTTTTTACAATGAAATTCACTTCTCCCTATGATGCTATTACCTCTTCTTCCTGCGTGTTTGATTTGTATATATTCCATATCTAAGTAATGCTACTTAAAACATTCTTCACCAGGCATTGCCATGTTTCATACAATCAGAGAACCTCAAGAAACTGATTTCTTTCTATCTTTTATACGTAGCCCTTGGTTGTCTTGTCTTGAGAGCATAGCTTATAAAAAACATTGAGAGCATAAGAAAAGTTTTTTTTCAACAAGTATTAAGAACAGTGAAATAAAAAACGATTTTTAAAGAAATATGGTGATGTTTTGTAATAAGCTCAATGACTTTTAAGATCGGTTTCCTTTACAAATAAACAAAATAATTTTTAAGATTTGTTATAAGATAAACCAATATATAAAGGAAGCATAATCATTAAAATGCAGGGAGACCAGATCTCGACTAGCAAGTTCCTACCAGTAGCTTGAACTTCACTACATCACCAGCTTCATGTTCTATATTTTAGTATTATTCTACCGCCATTCACACTTAAAAAATGGTAGAATATAATATAATGCATGAGCAATCAACTTTACAACCTCGATGTTGATTCTTTTTGAGGGTTCACTTTTTCATTTTTTATGAATACTTTCTAATTATGGCACCATTAAGTCAAAGCTGGAGAAAGCATTATGTCGTCTTCTTTACACTTATCAATCTGCAAACAGTGTTACTGGTTATGACAAAGAAATGCACTGTGTTGTTGCCCACTAAATATCATGTGCTATCATTTTCCTCTGCCTCCACCCTTGCTTATCAAATCAAACATAGCTTTAAGGTTAAATTCTCATCAACTTTTACTTGAAAATTTTTCAATTAACATTGCACTTGATAATTCTTTAGTGTTACAATGGCTATACGCTTCATTTGCACATGATTCATGAAGGCATCATGCAAATGGCTCGTGTGCAAGTAAAGGAAGTATTAATTATACACTTCTTTACTTTGTTATGCATCAACTTTTCAATTGATCTTTGTGTGTACTTGTGTAGAATCACTACAATTGTGATATATTCTATGCAATTTTGGACATATTCAATTTATATTGTAAAAATTATTATTTTAAAATTTATTTTTAAACCACTAATATTTATAAGGTTTATATTACAACTATATTTATATTAATAAGTATTTCTTATATGCATCTTTGATTATATATACTCTTAGTATTAGGATAACAATGAATCAAACCAACTCCAATAAGTTTGCAACTAATTCAACAATTGATTCATGAACCAAATGATCTAAACTTGAGTTAAAAATTAAGTTTATAAATAAGTTGAACTTGAACTATGTATGGTACAAATTGATTGGTTCATAAGCTAATATATATATATATATATATATATATATATATATATATATATATATATATATATATATATATATATTAATTTTATTGCTGCTAATTTGATGTCCATATTAACCATCCATTAGAAACAGAGAGAGAGGAGAAATTAAGGTTACCTAGCAGCGTAGTTCAACCACAAAAAAAAAAAAGACAAAGAAAGTGAAAGAGAAGCAATGGCCAAATTTATCCCAGCTAATGTTTGTCCTTCAACATATACAACCATTGTTAAATCCTAAAGCATTTCCAGATTGGGGAATAAAACACAGCTCAAGGAAAATGGAAAAATCAATCAATATAGAAATTTAAATTACTACTTTATTGTATATGTAAACTGTGTAAGTTTGTTGCATGTATGGTTTGCAAGAAAAGAAAAAAAAACTAGACAAGAGTTTCATATAAAAATCAACTTCCTTAGCCTTGAGAGATCCTCAAACATGCTCCTTGTTTTAGAAAGATAAAGCAGCCTAGTCTCCAAGACTTTCCACAGTTGATACAGCTAAAGCATGTTGTATACTGAAACTGTCACTGTGATTAATTATGCTGCTTATGCAGCAAATATGCCTTGAATTAGAAGGACCTAGGTAGCTTCTCACTGTATTCAACTATGGCTGATGGTGGAAGTAGGCCAGAGCTTATCTCATGCACTGTTGAGAAGAGAGGAAACAACTCTAGCCACCCGCGATGGCTTAGAACCTCATAAACCTCACTCGCAGTTGAGACACCCTTGGTGCAAGAAAGTTAGATCAAGAAATCAAGATTAAGAACATGAAAACCATTAGTGGTTCTACATTTTTCCTTTAAAGAAAGAAATTTGGTGTTTCGTTTTGTGGTAGGAAGAAATCTCCAATGATATGAAAGTTTAAACTGGGTTTGGTTGTTTGTAAGTCTAGAATTTTGGATAAAGAAAATAAAGATCTCAATTTATGCATAAAGGACCATGCAGTTTTATGATTTCTTCTTTGCAACCTTGTATTGAACAAGTTATAGTACATATATCCATCCAATGATGCATTTGGAGATTGTACGGAGATTATTAGTAGTTATATTAGAGTAAGGTTTTGTTAAAATAAACTTCTCCATAGGAAGAGAAAATAATAAGGTAAAATGAATGGTTCTTCTTTCGAAAGTAAAAATCAACCTATGTATTTTAACTTTTGGAGAAGTTAGATGTGAGGGTCAATATAAATTATAATGCTTAAGTTTATTTTATGATTTTACGAAGGAGATAAGCTCAATTCATTTTACCTTTCATTCTTTTTTCTGATATAATTTCCTTTCGAAAAGTTCACCTAAAAAGGATTTTTATATATTATACTATTTGCCATGCTAAGTATGATGAACATACCTGTAATTTCTGGCCTTGTAGCATTTCTGCTTCAAGCTCATCAAAAGACCTGCAGAAATTTATGAGATACATAACAAAATCAGGCATTTTCATTTCCTCAATCTAGAAATATAGACAAAGAGACAGAAATACAAAACAACCTCTTCCCTCCATTCTTTGCATAAGCCTCAGCAACTTTTCTATTTCTTCCACCCACTGCCATAGACAATAAGGTTTTCGTAAGACAAGCAGTGAAAAAGAGGGTCAAATTAATTAGCTTTCTTACAGCATGTTGTGATAAGGTCAGCTACGCCACAGCTCTCAAAAAAGGTGTTGTCCTTAACAGATGGAAACAACAACTTTGAAAATGCCTTCATTTCTCTAAGACCAAGTCTCATGATTGCAGCCTACACACATGTAGAAAACCAAATCAAAGACAAAAAAAAGTTTCTTTTTCCTTTTCTTGTGTCCTTTTGGAAACCTTCTGATCATAAGATCTTTTAAACTTACTTTTGTATTATTTCCCATCTCCAGGCCATCAACAAAACCTGTCCCATTTGTGTGTCATTCCTTGATTGTTCAGAAAAACAGAAAAAAAGGGAGATAACAAAGTGTGCATATACAGTACAGCAAACCTGCTGCTATGGCCACAACATTTTTCAAAGTTCCACACAGTTCAACTCCTTCAACATCTTGAACCTATTTATTCATAGAATACAAAAATTGTAAGCGCAAATAATATCTCAGCAACAACCATAAGAAAATCCTTATTTAAATCAAGTGAGATTGGCTATATAATATTTACCTTGAGACCAAATAATTCAGTTAAAGGCTAGATAATATCTCATTGTTCTATGAATTTAAAAGTACCCATGACCATAATTTTCTGTCTTAAGTCATGATATTTCCTTAGTATTTACTACAAATTACTTGAAAGAGCAAATTCCTCAGTTTCATTAAGTTTGCTGTCCTTTCTTAAAGAATGTGACGTACTCACAGCTGTCACAATGAAATAGGGAGTATAAAACAACTGAACCCATCTCTCAGCAACTTCTTTATTGTTCCTGTATCCAACAGTTGCTTCACTAAACTTCTCTACAGCTATCTGCACAAACATTAATAATAATTACAACAACCCAATATAAAAATAAGTAGAAAACTATAGAAATAGAAAACAGACTCTAATTTCTTCTAAATACCTCATTTGCTATGTTTGCACCCATTAAAACAGAACAATTGATTCCCAGTTGCTCGGAGATTAGACTAGAGATCATGCATGGGCCTTCCATCTTCACCTCCATCCCTTTAACAAGGGAAATGCCCTCAGCATCTTCCCTTATTTTCCCAACAAGCCTTTTGCATATTCCTTCCATAAATTGATGTGGAGTCACAAATACTAACATGTTGGAATCCCTCACTGCACAATTCACCCCAAAAGTAGACAGTGAACTTTTTTAATACTTATTGAGTTTTGCATCCTTTTCTTCATTTAAAAGTTTGGTTCTCTGATATGAGTTTTTAATTTTTATGCACTAAATCAAAGTAAATAAATAAAGGCAAGTAGTTTATGCACAATAGTGTATAGAAGTTTTACATTGTCATCTAATCACAAACATTTTGGTATGGTAAGATATATGACTTTTCCAATAACTACAATCATATCAATGATGATTTCTCAATGGTTGACAGAATAATTTTTAACACTGACTGTACGTAGAAATTAAACAAACTAAATTCATACCTGCATTTTCAAGGTCTGGATCTGCAATAACATTTTTGCCAAGTTTGATTCCAGGGAGATATTTGACATTTTCCTGCCAAGATGAAAAGTGATGCTCAATTTCTTTTTTCGTACATTCATAATAATAATAGTATTGATTGAAGAAAAAAAAACACTTTGGACATTCAATGGAAGTGAAATGAATAGAGTCCTTACATTGGTTCGATTGATAACATCTGTGAGCTTCTCACCACTCGGTAATGTCTCCTCATACACCCACATCCTCACTTCATCTGAATTTCATTATAATTTGAAATTTAAGATTCTAAAGGAAAGATTGCTTTCTTACTAAGAAAAGTATGTTTGAGCATATAACAACAACAATAAAAGCCTTAATAACCAACCAGATATATTACAGAACAGAACATCAAATTTAAAAAATGCACTAGTACGAAATCAATTAATGCATATTAGTCCATGACATTGCGAATATCTATCAATCTATACATAAAATTGTCAAAGTATCATTCTAATAGTTGAAATTATCAAATCTAAATCATGCTGGTCCTCATTTGTTTTAGGCTCTCGTCTTTCAAGTTTCAATTGCATCATCCAATTAGAACATAGGCACCAAAATCCTACAATAGACAATATATATAAAATAAAACTTTTTTTTTTTTTTTCATAATTTCAAGGCTAAGATAACAGTCATTCAATAACATCAACAACCAAAATAACCAACCTCGGTTAGCTAATTTGAAGAACTAAAATTAAACCTTTATAATTCAGAGACTAAATTATTCGACTGTTTGTTATTATATAAAACATTTTGACCATTTGATGCATCAAGACTTCAACTTCAGCAATAGAAAGCGTCATGAAAGTAGTCGAAGAGCGAGGAAATTACCATGAAAGGAGGCAAGCCTGAGGGTGTTGGAGGCAATGAGCTTAGATGCAACACTGCCCCAGTTGCCACTTCCAATAACAGTGACTCTGGATCTGTGTGTGGCATCATTGGCACTGTTCAAGAAGTTGTTGTTCTGTGGCACAGATTCTGCCTCTTGTGGAACCTGGGCTTCCAAGGCCGGAGCCATGAAGAAGAACAGAAAGAGAAATGAGGAACGCAGAGTAATGTAATGCAGAAGAATTATTGGAGCAATGGAACAGTGAAGAAGAATAGAGAGCAAAGAGAAGAAGAAGAGGGTGAATATAAGAAGGGAAAGAAAAGGGTCATGGCATGGGGGCGGAGATGGCACAACAATTTCGTGAGAAACAATGTTTTGAATTAAATCTGGCGATCCCCTCTATGTTTGCAATATGTTTGCTGCTCCAGTGGGGACCACCTTATGAGTCTATCCATGTACACCTCTTCCTCCACATTTTCTTTCACTTTCTCACAAGTTTTTTTTTTCTTTTCTTTTTTAAATTAAATTATTTTTTTAATATTTATAATCTAACTTAACTTATCTATCTTAAACTAACCCAAGAGTTCCAAGGAATGATTTAATTCCACTCTATCTTATGTAATTATATTGAGTAGGATTTTTTTATTGAGTTAAATCCAAGTAATCTAACCTCACTCAATCAAATTCACGTCTCATGAGTTTTGTATATTTCATTCGATATTTAATTTTAAAATAATTAAAAAATATCAATATTATTAATAATATAAATATAAAGATGGTTTAATTTATTTAATTGTTATATTAATTAAATTTATATTTATGAAACGCTAAATAATATAATTTATTTTAAAAAATGTTTAAAAAAAATGAAAAAAAAGTTTTGATTAACAAATATTTTTAAATATTTTATTCAACCTAATCTGTCTAACTTCAATAAAAAAAGAAGAAGTTAGATTAAATTCAATTCAATAAAAAAAATTAACTCAATTTAATTTATTTATTTTATTAGATTTCACGATGAATTTATCAATTTAACTCAACTTATATTATCCAAAAATAAAACTATAAATCAAATCTTTTTTAAGAATGATTCTATAAAATTTCCATAGTTCTAATTTAAGGAAATGACAAAGGGAGCTTGGAAGGTTTGGTTTCAACGTTGTGTTAAAAGTCATCAAAGTATTTCTCTAAGATCATGTTTTATTGCGGATAAAACTATTTTTTTAAATAATTCGAGAATATATATATATATATATATATATATATATATTTAATTATATTATTTAATTAATATAATAAAATAAAATAATTAAATAACATAATACCTATTATATTATAGATAAAATGGTAATTTTCGTTTTTCAAATAATAAATTTACAATTTTTAATAATTTTTATGTGTAATTATATATTTAGTTATAATTTTTTAATTTATAATATTAGTTGATCTTTAATTCCTACTTATTTTAAGATAAGTACAATGAAGAATATAATAACGTGATTGTATACTCACAACGGTGTGAGAAATGCACATGTATAAAAATCACATTAGAAGTTAATATAGGAAATTAGTCGAGTAACTATACTCTTACAAATGTGAAAGATTATCTATTAATAAAATAATTATCATCTTTTGCATTAAAATAAGGTTATATATATATATATATATATATATATATATATATATATATATATATTATGATAAAAGATAATATTGAGAAGTAAGAGAATAAAATTCTATATAATAACATATTCACGACTTCAAAATAAATTTCACCTCAAACTCAATTTTATTCTTAATTTCCATTCATATACTCTCGTATTCTTTAACTAACCTAAACGTCATACCGTCATTCATAAGTTGACCTCTACTAGATGTTGTGCTAAATTCACAATACATTCGTATCAAAGAATCATTACATTACAGAGAATTTAGTTCTAAGACATTCTCCTCTGATAAGAATTGTTGGACCAATAATGGTTAAGACCTTGGTTTTGAACGATTAATTACAAAAGAAACATGCTTTAAGGTATTATTAACATTTGTATCATCTATATTGGCATTGTCTATGAATGTATAGGGATGTACGTGAGATGTAGGTGAGTTAGGATCGGTAGGATTTGGGCAAACTCATTGTCCAACCCAATAAAAAAAAAAAGTCTAAGTGGGGTTGGATTAAGTTTTTTCATTTTTTTTTTATTAAATTCAATCCAACCTAAATCACCTATCAACGAGTTGGATTGAGTTAGGTTAATTTTGTTAAAATTTTAATTTTTTTTTGTTAAAATATGTAATTTGAAAACACTTTGTTGTTTTTAAAACTAAACAATATAATTGATGTAATGAAAATTAAATATATAGTATAATATTTGTCCAAATTAATTCAAAGCATAAAAAGAAACCCAACCCAATTTATCCAAACTAACAAATTATAATCATATCAAGAACATATTGACTTAATAATAAATATAATATTTAAGATAAAATAAAAGAGAAAAAAAAGTTTTTAAAAGGCTTAATTACATCTCTAACATGATATCTTATTTATAATAATAAGAACATATATACTAAGTAAATAGAAGGTCAAGGAACTGAATTATAAGTTAGAAAACAAAGATCAAGAGATAAGTACAATTAATTAATAATTCCAACAACTAATTAATATTTTCAACATTCTCCCTCAAGCTAGAACATATAAATTATATGTACCAAGCTTGAAACAAATGAACTCAATATGACGACTCCTTAATGATTTTGTTAACACATTTACAAGTTGGTCATTAGATCCAATAAACTCAGTACAAATTTTCTTAGTCACTAACTTTTTCCGAACAAAATAACAGTCAATCTCAATGTGTTTTGTTCTCTCATGGAATACTGGATTAGAGGCAATGTGAAGTGCAATTTGATTATCATAGTATATTTTCATGGTCTGGATTTCATAAAAATTAAGCCCTTGAAGGAATTGTTTCACCCATACAAGTTCACAAGTAAGAGATGTTAGTACCCTGTATTCAATCTCATCAGTTGATCAGACCACAAAATTTTGTTTCTTACTTTTCCAATAAATAATATCTCCTCTAAGAAAAATACAATATCCTTTAGTAGAACATCTGTCAGAAGGGGAATCAACCAAATCAACATCATAATACCCAAATATTTGAGTGTTGTTCCTATCTTCATATAATAAACCTTGTCCTAGAGCCTTTTTCAGATATCTCAAGATATGGATGATGACATTCTAATGGCCAATGCAAGGAGCATGTATGAACTGGCTAACAACACCAACTATAAAAGACAAATCAGGTCTATAAATGGTAAGATAAATATGTTTTCCAACTAATCTTCTATATCTTTTTAAATTAAACAATGGTTGACCTTGTTCAGTCATTACTTTTTTATTTGGATCCATAGAACTGTCTACTAATCTATAGTCAATTATACTTGTCTCTCTTAGAATATCTAATGCATATTTCCTTTGAGATATTACAACACATTCTTTTGACTGAGTACTTCAATACCCAAGAAGTATTTGAGACTCCCAAAATCTTTGATTTGAAAATGTTTGCACAAATGTTCCTTTAATTGAGATATTTTAACAACATTACTCTAGTAATAACTATATCATCAACATGTATTATTAAGTAAACACATTTTATCAGGAGATGTATGATAGTGAAAAATAGAAAGACCTGTTTCACTTCGTTTCTACCCAAAAGTTTGTACAATGTGGCTAAATTTTCTAAACCAAACTTGTGAAAATTGTTTAAGATCATAGAGAGAGTGACGTAACTTACAAACCAAGCCTAACTCTCCCTGAGCAACAAATCCAAGAGGTTACTCCATATAGATCTCCTCCTCTAAATTACCATGAAGAAATGCATGTTGATATCCAATTGATAAAGTGACTAATGATGAATAACTGTAATAGAAAAAAAAAATAGTAATCATTTTGGTCACTGGCGAAAAAGTATAATTATAATCAAGACTATAAATTCGAGTGTATCCTTTAGCAACTAAGTGTGCCCTGAGATGATCGACTTCATCATTTGGTCCAATTTTAATAGCATAAACCCAACAATATCTCACTGTTTCCTTTCAAGATAGAAGGGGTACCAAGTCCCATGTGTGATTCTGAACAAGAGGTTACATTTCAACAATCATGGCTTGACACCATCCAGGATGATCAAATGCTTCATTTACATTTTTTGGAATTATAATGGAAGACACTGATGATATAAAAGAACAATACGAAGGAGACAACCTATAATAACTAAGAAAATTATAAATGGGATGCGGGTTACGAGTAGAACGAGTATTTTTTCTGATTGCAATGGGTAAGGAATCATCAAGTTGAGGAACTGTGATATGAGGAGATGAAGGAGAAAGACTAGAAGACAGGACCAGGATCATCTGAGGCACGAGGGACAATTGACTCAACTAATGGAATATGTAGAATCTCTTGGATGGAAGTGACATCTTGAATAGATGAAGGGAAGAGAAGAGTCTATTCAAAGAAGGTGAAAACATGTAATATTTCTTTATTTCAGAAGAGTAACACCAATATCCTTTTTGAAGGCGAAAGTAGCCTAGGAAGATACATTTGATAGCTCAGACAAAAAAATTATCTATTCTGAGGATAAATTATGAACAAAACATATACAAAACAAACACACAAGGAAAGATATGAAAGTGGGGTTCTCTAGGAAAGAGAATAAAATAAGGAATCATATTATTGAGAGAAGAGGATGACATTCTATTAATAAGAAAACAAATAGTTAGAATAACATCACCCCAATAATGGGTCGATAGATTGACACAAAGTAATAGGGTATGAGTAGTTTCAATCAAGTATCTATTATTTCTTTCTATAATACCATTTTATTGAGAAATGTGAGAACATATGGACTGGTGTAGAATGCCATGTGAATTTAGAACAACAAAGAAATGAGAGGAGAAATACTCTTTTCCATTGTCATTTCTTAAAATTTTAATTACTTGACCAAATTGATTTTTTATTTCATTTAAGAAGGACATAAAGATAGACAAAAATTCTGAACAATCTTTCATGAGATAAATCCATGTACATCTGCAATATTTTTCAATGAAAGTAACAAAATATCTGAAACCAAAAGATGAGACACAACTAAGCCCTCAAATATCAGAATGAATAATAAAAAACACAAAAT